ATGACCTGAGCCGAAGGCAGACGCTTAACGACTGAGCCACCCAGGCGCCCTCTAAACATAATATTTTTAATCAAAGTAATGACATTGTAAGTACAGAGAATTTATCATGAATGGCAATTCTCCTCCCCTTTCCTTCCCAAGTCACGGTCCCAGAAAAAACATTTTTTAATGCTTTTAACTTATCCTACTCTCGGTTCTTCTGATGGGTCCATATCCCTAAACGGCCTGCTAATTCAGCTATTTCTTACCGTATCCATTTTGCCTGCCAGAATCTAGCAGTTTCCAGCTCAGTTGAACATTTGACCCACTGGCCCTGTCCCACTTCCCAGGTCAGCTACATCCTTCTTTTTTAGGCCCTCTGTAACTATAACTAAAGTTGTTTTTGTTATTTTAAGTGGTAGCACTGGCTACGGTCATCTGGTTAAGCTCCACGGTACCGTTGTTAAGGGAGTAGACTTTGGGGCCAGAGTTTCTGAGCCAGACCCAGGCTCAGCCATGGGCTGAGTGTGTGATCCTGGGCAGCAGATGTGTCCTTCCCATGTCTGAGGTTGCTCATCCATGAGAAGAGGTTGGCCGTCGCAGTATCTGCCAGGCAGCCCAGTCTTGAGGATTAAATGAGCTAGGACATGGACAGCGCTCTGAACAGTGCCACGTACACGTGCGCTGTAATAAGTCCGCCATTGTCACTTTGTGGCTTCCCTTCCTTTAGCTCTCTTCAGTTCAATTTCTGTTATGTGTACATTTGCTTTTATAAGGCTCTAGGTAGATCATACTCGCGTTCTCTTCTGGCATCCTCTAGAGCTGTAGTATCCAGTATGGCAGTCACTAGCCACATGGGGCTATTTTAATTTAGATCAGTAAAAATTAAATAACTTTTAAAATTCAGTTCCTCTGGGGCGCCTGGGTGGCTCAGTTGGTTAAGCGACTGCCTTCGGCTCAGGTCATGATCCTGGAGTCCCGGGATCGAGTCCCACATCCTGGTCCCTGCTTGGCAGGGAGTCTGCTTCTCCCTTTGACCCTCCCCCTCTCATGTGCTCTCTCTCTCATTCCCTCTCTTTAAAATAAATAAATAAAATGTTTTTAAAAAATAAAATTCAGTTCCTCTGGTGCAACTAACCAGTTACACTTCAAGTACTTGAAAACTACATGTGGCTAATGGTTACCTTACTGGATAGCACCCCAGTAGCATATTTGCAGCATCTCACTGGCTGGCCCAGAATTTGAGTCTAACAGTGAAAAACTATTAATTGTCTTTCCTTTTAAAGGTTATATAA